TGAGGATTATTGGTGACCCGCTGGGTGTTAGACCCGCTCTGCAACGGGAACGAATCAACACCGTTCATACTTCCACTGCATCGTGACTGAACCGCGCCGGAACCGCGTGCGTCACACTCAGTTTAACACGGATCAAATGGATGGGAGCAATATTCTAAGGAACCCTTGCAAACTTACATTTTGATCATAGTACACACCGAACTCGTTAGCAGAACCCGCCGGCTGGTACTGATTGTTGCCCTGCTCGTAGCCATAGCCAGAGCCGACTGGCTGACCTTGGTCAGCATTCTGATTACCGTAGCCATTGTTCTGATTGACGTAGCCGTTGTTCTGTGTAGGGTATCCAAACGGTGTGTTCTGATTCACTCCAGCTGGATTACTGTACCCGTTCTGGTCATAGTTGACAGGATTTGAGCCAGAGTATAAATTCGTGGCATCTGCTGGATATTGGCTACATGGAATGCAACCAGTGTTCGATTGACATTGAAGTTTTGCACATCCAGTCGGATTGTTGTACACGTTACCGTAGCCTGCACCATTAGGTTGGTATCCAATATTGGGCATTTGATTGTTATCGTAATTGAATTGTGGTGGAGGCGTGCTGGAAAAAAGTCAAAATCAGCTGACAAAAATCGATAAATTATTATAAACTAACAGTAAAATGATAAAATTCATATTATCGTCGTCATGAAACATGTCCTCCTTGCTAAAATAGGTGAATTTTAAGGGAGGACTCAGTACTATTACATACTCACGGGCCATATAAGCGTCGAAGTGCCCCTTATGGAATCCGGCCGTTTCATGATCGCACGCTCAATTTTCATGTATTACGACAGTATACCATGATGGAATTTCGTTAATGCGTATCAATCTGCTTGCAAAAAAAAGTGTCTATTGCGATAACCAAATTTGATTCTGTAAGGAGTACTGTAGCTGTAGTAGTGCATCTCGAGCGTGTACACAGACCTGATTGTTAGAGTTTAATGGTCCCAAGTAAAATTTTTCAGTCACTGCGAGGAATTTTTGAGCGGATCCGTAAAAAGCCAATAAAGGGCAGTGTGTATTGCAGTACATGCAGTGCTGAACTTACTTGGTGTCGTATAACGGTCCACTGGGAGTGACATTATAGTTTTGTGATATAATTTGAGAAACCTAAATGGAAGAATAGTGTAAGTTTGCAATGGAATAGGGGAGTGTCAAATCAGAAAATGTCAATTTCTTGTGAATGCTTCTGAGAGAGAGTATCTCTAACTATTTTCTGCTGAATTACCAAGTTATCCACTGAATCGCCATAGAGAGACTTTTAGACGGTTACGACCCTCAATAGTCACACACATGAAGGTGAGGTAACTGTGCATGTAAGCCACTATGCCTCCACTCCTCCACTTGCACCTAAGTCTGTCGAAAGTCGATATTCTGATTTGCTAGGTGACTGCCTACTGTATGTCACCTTTCTGGCAGTCAGCTGTCTATATCTTCATCTTCTGTCTCTAAGTCTATTTCTGTGTCTGTCTGTCTGTCTGTCTGTCTGTCTGTCTGTCTGTCTGTCTGTCTGTCTGTCTGTCTGTCTGTCTGTCT